TGTGTTTGCTCAGGGACAGATTGGGACGGCCAAGCCCAGGGTGTGACTCTGCCAACCCTGAGCCAGCCGGGATTTCTGCTCCAGCCTGAGCTCAGCTTTGGCAAAGCCAGAGCCCAGCACTCAATTTTCAGGAGGGGGACCTATTTTTCTCCCTTACATTCAGTGGGGCCCCTCTCTCATCGAGCCAACCTCTCTCATCAAAATCCCTGCTGGCTCCTTCCACCCTCCTTCATCCTCTGCTCTCCATCACTGCAGGAAACTCCCTGTGCTTCTCCTGGGCTCATTTCTTGGCCAGACAACTGGTTGTCTCCACCACCAAGGGCAGCTGTCCTGTTCCCAGTCCCAGGAGCTGGGAATGGCAGAGATTTGGGAAAAGGCCCTTAGACCACCTCATTACTGAGGTCATCTACCTTCAGCACACGGTGGTGGTGGAATAGAACCCTGCCCTGAAAACCAAGGGGTGCAGAAGCAGCAAGGAATTCTCCTCCTTCACCTTTTTCTAAGTGTTAAAATTGGGAACATGACTCTGACAATCTCATTTGGTTTTCCCAGCGAGCTGCCTGCTTATTATAATGCGCAAATCTGTGCTGCCTGTCAGCTGAGGGGACCCAAGGATACTGCAGCATGTTATTAATTAAAGTTTAACCCCTGGAAAAGCAGGACTATCATCTCCTCTATCTCAGGAGGGCAACCATGACCTAAGCACCCCTATAAATCTCCTTTTCCAAGCAGGACAGCTACAGAGGCAGAACCTGCAGACCAGCCCAGTGTCCTGACATGGGTCTCAATTCCTGTATGAGGAGGAGGGGGTGGAAGAGAGAGAACCTACCCAGCCAAAAACATCTATTCCTGTCCTTGGTAACTGATGCAGTTAAAATACCACCCAGCTTTTATAGCCCAGAGCTCATTTAAAGGCTGCTGAGAGACACAAATTGTAATTGGAGCCAATGTCTTCCCCCTGGCTCCTCTCCTGCTCCTGGGCTGGGGCTGGGGGGTATCCTGCCTCCTCTGCAAAGCTTGGGAGCTCTTAATCCCCAGGCAGGTGTGGAAAACACCTGGGCTAAGTGGAAGAGAAAATCCCTGCTGGCTGCTTCCACCCTCCTTCATCCTCTGGTCTCCATCACTGCAGGAAATCCCCTGTGCTTCTCCTCCTGGGCTGATTTCTTGGCCAGACCTGTCCTTAATTCCCCCTCCTCAGCTCCCAGGCGTTGTACAGCTTCCCTGTGCCAGGAACAGGATGTTTCCCTGGGTGTCCATCAGAGTTTGGGGACATAATTTAGCCCCCAAGACAACCTGTGAGGAGCTCATCCCTCACCTCTCCCCAGCCCAGGTAACCACCCTGCTGTGCTGCCCAGGCAACCACTGTCCAGATCCAATGTCTTTTGGGCTCAGGAGAGGGAAGGTTGGTCACTCAGCTGGAGTGACAATGCTACAAAACCCAGATAAAGTGGAATTGCCACTCCTTGGGGTGCCATTTCTCTCCGGGGTGTGAATATATATATATATATTTATATATATATAAAGTGCTGGGATGCTTTTCCCCAACACTTCCCCCCAGAGCCTTCAGGATGGGAGCTGGAGGGTTCACTGTCTCATAAAGCTGCCTGTCTCCAGCCAGCTGGGGTGTGGGAGTAGACAGGGAAGAGATGCATTGAGGACAAAGGAGGCAGTCAATCATTCCTTTTTTCAGGCAAGGGGTTAGTTATGGGACAGTTTCTTCTCTCTACTGCATTTGCACTCAGAGGGGGGGATAAAAGGAAACAAAACCAGGACTAAAGATGCCTCAGGGAGTCTCTGAAGTTCCAAACCTTGTATGCCACCCTATGAGGGCACTTCTTTCCTAAGCCCAGGGGTGGAGCAATTACACGTAACAAATTGTACATATCCTTATAATGAATCCGGCAACTGGAAGGGAAACGTCACAGGTTAGGACAGCAAAAACCAGGAGCAATCAGCTTTTCCCCGGGAAAACAGGAGGAGCTGGAAGGGCAGAACTTGCTGTAAAGGAAGGTTAGTCCAGCAAAAATTGGGCTTGTGAGGAAGGAGCAACTTTAACCCAGAGAGAGAGAGAGAACTTCCAGCTGCTCATCAAACTTTATATCCTTGGATTTTCTTCTGTGCAGGGCTTTCCAACCACTTGGTGCCCTTTGTCACTAATGTTTTGGTTCCCTTTGTCACTAATGTTTTGGTTCCCTTTGTCACTAATGTTTTGGTTCCCTTTGTCACTAATGTTTTGGTTCCCTTTATTTAAAGTTTTAGTCCCCTGTGCCTGAGCATCTCCCTCCAGCCTCTCCTCGCCACCCCCCAGCCAACCCAGAGCCTGCAGCACCCAAAGAATCTCCCTAATGGGTTATTCCTGGGATTCAGAAGAGCTTGGGAAGCTTTCCCTTCCACTGTTCCCTCCCACACAACCCCAGCAGGGCTGTTCTCTGGTTCAGGGGCACTGAACAACTCGCTGCAAGCCCAGAAATTCTCCTCTCAAAGGTCGACTTGGCTGTTGGCACTGGGAAAATCCCAATATTGTTCCCAGCAGGTGGAATCAGACACCTCCCAGTAGCTTTCTGGTCACTCTCATTAACTCCCAACAATATTTCCAGCTAATTTAACAACAGGATTCCATTTCTTCACCTTTTGCAAGTAACCAAACCACAGGCAAAAAGAGCTGAGCCTCCCAATTACCTCTGAAGGAAAACTGAGATGATTTGGCTTGGCTGTGTTTATTTTGGTACTTCATATAAAGAAGGCTGGAATATTTTGGAATATCTCCTTCAATATTACAGCTTTTCTGGATGGGGAAAAATTAAGGTCTATTCAAAGCCTTCCCAAGCCACTCAAAACTATTAATTCAGGAACAGAGCAAATGGAACTGTGCAAGTCTTGGCTGGAGGCCTAAATGTGGTTATAAAAAGTATATTGGCTTAACCGAGGCAAGAAGTTGAGTTGACTTTACCTCCAATTTTGGAACGATTTTGTGAAGTCAGGGTGTAGAAATGAGGTCTGCCCCGCTCCCTGAGCTCTCTGAGAGCTCCTGCAAGGCTTGAGAACCAGCAGCTGTTTTGCATTGGAAAGCACAAAATGAGGACAGTCAGGAATTCTTTCCCAGGTCCGTGGAATCATGGAATGGTTTGGGGTGGAAGGGACCTTAAAGCCCATCTCATTCCACCCCCCCAACCTGCCACTAGCCCAGGTTGCTCCAGCCTGGCCTTGGACACTTCCAGGGCTGGGGCAGCCACAGCCTCTTGTTTAAATCTGATTTTGTTTATTTTCCTCAGCATCCTTTTATCCCAGGAAGCCAAGAGAAAACTCCTTTGGCAGACCCTGCACCTCCTCCTCCCCACTGAAGGTGCTTCCAGCAGCATCTCCCTCTTTGGGACAACTCCTGGGAATGGCATGGCCAGACCAGTATTCCCAGTATCTCTAAGGGGTGGGCACTGGGAAAGTATAAGAGAGATAAAGTGCTCACTTTATATACACTGAACAAATTAAAGCTCTTACAAATCCAATTTTCTTTTGTTTTGTCCAGTTCATCCTTAAATCTAGTGTTTTCACTCCTTTCCTGATTAACTCCCAGCCCCCCCAAACCACCTTGGGTTCCCTTATTTCTCTCTCTCTCTGTTTTTCTTTGAGCCCAAGGCTTTTACCACCTCTAAATCCAACAGTTTCCCCATACTTACCCCTCCAGACTGTGACACATCTGGAAAAACGGCTGCTAAATGCCTTTTTAAATTCCTTTTGAATGCTTTTCCCCAGAAAAGTTTACAGGAAGTTGGATTTTGTAACAAAACCAAAGGTGATACGAGAAATAGAGCTGTAAATACGCATTAAGTCTATGTTTAAAATATTATCTATATAACAAAAATATAACAACACTTGTGCTTTTTAACCATGCAGCATCTTTCGTGGAAGGATCTTAATCTGAGGGAAGTGGACAAATACTGTAATTCCCTTTTTTTGGGGGGACAATCAAAGAGGAAACATTGAGAGAGGTGATCAGTGAGTGACCAATTCAGCCCAAATCACAGAATCATCAACCCAGAGAATTATATAAGTTGGAAAAAAACCCCTCTGAGATCAGAAAGATTGGGAAGATCTTAGATCAGAATGATGAAAAGATTAATTCTGGCCTTAAACTGCGAAGGGCTTTTAAATTGTGGGAATTTTAGTCCCACTTCTGAAAATGTCAGTGATTTCAGTGGAACTGTTCACACTCTGCCAGCATCAATAACGTCCCAGCAGAGCATTAAAGGGAGCAAGGTTAGAGAAAAGCAGAAAATTGGATGTTAATAAATGACATATTCTGCATTAACAGCTCGGCAAGTGAAAAGGTTTGGCCCCGGAGTGACTCACAAAATGTGAAGTCTCTGCTCGGAGTTAACAGAGCGAGAAATCTCTCTGTAAACTTCATATTTGTGCCTCTGATGGGTGGAAAGTTCCTGAACGCAGAAACATTAAAAAAACCCCCACATTGATCCTCATTTTTTTCCCCTTGCAGGTGTGTTACTCCTCCCACAGCCCTTCAGCAGAGCCAAGGCTATTTTTTAAGGAGCAAACAGGCACTCCCAAGTTTTCAGTCTCATTAAGAGACAGGATTGGATTTTAAAAAGGAGGAAAAAAACCCCCTATTTAGTGCCTGCCAAATACCCACAAAGGATTGTCTGTGTTCCAGAGCACGTGCTGCTGAAAACCTGCTTGGAGATGACAAGCTGTGAGTAAATGTGGAGGATATTCAGGCTGGGAGTAGGGATGGCTTTGAGGTGGTTAAAATCACCCACAGCTCAGAGAAAAGCAGGCATTTTGGGGTAGGTTTACATTTAAAGTTGCCCTAAATCATTTAAACTGAGGTTTTGAAGCAGTTTAATTGCATGCTAGCAGGGAGTTTGAGCTGCTGATTATACAAACACTTTTCTGCATCTGTCTCAGCTGAAGGGGGAAAAAAAAAAGAAGAGGGGAAAGATTGGAGGAGCTGAAAGAATTCAAAACACAGAGGAGATTCATTGCAAAGTAGCTCACGGGGAGGCAAATGGAGAAAAATTAGTAGAGGTTTAAATTTAAAAAAAAAAAAGTCTCCAAACAGGCAAATTCTCCGGGTGCAGAATATCAAGGAAATTCCTGTGACCTGTGACAGAACATCTAGAAATGAGAATACCACAGTCCCCAGGGCTGATGGGCAGCAGCTCCTTGTGGGCAGTGCAGAAAAGCAATATATTAACCCAGTCTCGCTCTAGAAGTGGTCACAGGTCAGGGCCATTCCCTCAAGTTTAAAAAATTCCTTAAAACCCTTTCTCTGGGATCCATCTCCCAAACCTGTGCCATGGGTGTGAAAATTTCCCTTTGAGTAAGGGAAGCAAAGAGAGAAAACCCCCAAACTAAACCCTCCCCTGTGTGCAGGAACCATCCCCTCCTTGAACACACCCAAACATCAGGAACATTTCCTCAGAGGCTCGTTGGGAACCCAAAATGCTTCCAACCTTTGGCTCCTTTCCTTCTGATTATTTCACATCTCGCGTTTCAACTGCGAGTCTAAAAGCTGAAATATCATTTAGAAGATCAAAGTTGCCTCATAAAGCTCGATGTCATTAGAAGGGGGCTTCCAAGAGCAAAAACGTTGGGATTAATGAGAAAGGGCTGCTTTAAAAAAATCCCATGTTTTCAGCAGGAACACCCTGCTGGGGAGTGGGTGGGCAGAGGCAGGTGATGGAGTTGGAGCCTGCAGGACTTGACTCAGATGTGACACATCCTCTGCCGTGGCCTGAGGGACCTGCACAGGGTTTGGGAAACCATTAAGGTGGTTCTCAGCTAGAGAACCCCTGCAAAATGAGGGGTGACAGGGCAGAGCCTCCCCCACCACCTCGAAGCACAGAGATCTGCGTGGTTTTATCTCCAAACTGGGGTGCAGAAACCAAAGGCAACGAATGAACAGCTTTTCTACTTGGTAATTTGGATTTCCCCTGGTAATTTTTGGCTGTGTGGGGAGGGGGGTGGGTTTTGCTCTCGTGCTTGGTTGGGTTGTGTCTGTTTGAAGGAAACTCCCTTTTAACGACATCAGGTTTGTTCATCTCCGCTGCAGCTGGAGCTTTTACCACCAGTGTCACCTCGGAGTTGTTTTCCTTAAAAGAGGCTCTGTGAGTGTCCAGGTACAATATTTACCCCCCAGTGTGTCTGTCTGTCCCCCAGCAGGGTCAGTGGGTACGTACCAGGCAGCGGGGTCGTACTCGGCCCACACCCGGACAAACTCATCCAAGTGGTGAGGGCCCAGGATGGAGGAGTCCCTGGTCAGGTATTCAAAGTTGTCCATGATGACAGCCACAAACAGGTTCAACATCTGCAGAGAGGGAGCAGGAATGCAGTCAGGGAAGGGAGAAGGGAAGGGGGAAGGAAAGAGAAGAAAAAGGAAAGGGAAAGGGGAAAGAGAAAAGAGAAAAGAGAAAAGGGAGAAGGGAGAAGGGAGAAAAGAAAAGAGAAGGAGAGAAGGGAAGGAGAAGGAAAAGGGAGAAGGGAAGAAGAAGGGAAGGGGGAAGGAAAGAAGAAGGGAGAAGGGAAGAAGAAGGGAAAAAGAAGGGAAGGGGGAAGGGAAGGGGAAGGGAAGAAGAAGGGAAAAAGAAGGGAAGGGGGAAGGGAAGGGGAAGGGAAGAAGAAGGGAAGAAGAAGGGAAAGGGGAAGGGAAGGGGAAGGGAAGAAGAAGGGAAGAAGAAGGGAAAGGGGAAGAGAAGGGGAAGGGAAAGGGGAAGGGAAGGGAAGGGAAGAAGAAGGGAAAGGGGAAGGGAAGAAAATGAAAAGGGGAAAGGGAAGAAAATGGAAAGGGGAAAGGGAAGAAAATGGAAAGGGGAAAGGGAAGAAAATGGAAAGGGGAAAGGGAAGAAAATGGAAAGGGGAAAGGGAAGAAAATGGAAGGGGAAGGGAAGAAAATGAAAAGGGGAAAGGGAAGAAAATGGAAAGGGGAAAGGGAAGAAAATGGAAAGGGGAAAGGGAAGAAAATGGAAAGGGGAAAGGGAAGAAAATGGAAAGGGGAAGAGAAAAGGAAAGGGAAAAGGGGGTTAGGGGAAAAAGGAGAAAAAAAGGAAAGGGAAAAGGGAAGAAAAAGGAAAGAAGAAAAAGGAAAGGGTAGAAAAAATGAAAGGGGAAAGGGGAGAAAAAAGGAAAGGGGAGAAAAAAGGAAAGGGGAGAAAAAAGGAAAAGGAAAAGCTGGAAGGGGAGCAGGCATGATTCCCTTAACTGGATGTGTACTTCCTTCAAGAAGCAGCCTGACCCCAGAGAATAAACTCTCCAAACAGAGCCCTGGGTCCTTGGGGTGCTGCTGCTGCTGCTCCTCCCCTGCACACACTGCAGGGCCCTTTGCCAAGGACTTTGGCTGCGGGTGCTTTCCAGGTCCCAGTCCTGGTGCTGCCCTCCAGTGTGACCCACCCCAGAGCCCTGAGGGCTCAGCCCCTCTCCCTGCCCCTCTCCCTGCCCCTCCCTCACCCCACCCCAGCCCAGAGCAGCACAGGGGCTGCAGCAGCTGCTTCTCCAACCAGACATAGGAACTCTTCCAGCACTTCCACATCAGGACCAGAACGGCCAGAAGAAAACCCATTCTTCAGCCTAAATGTGCTATTTTAGACTCGTAACAACTCAAACCTTCCAAGATCCCCAGAAAGCTGAGGAGCAGGACACACAGAGCACTCCTGTCCCTGATGGCCACTAACCCAGAGCCTGGCAAACACCTCTGGCACAGAAAGGTTGTGCTTTTATAAAAGCCAAGGGAAGAATCACGAGGATTTTTAACGGGAAAAGATCAAGCTGCAGCCAGCAGAGTGGGAAAGCAGGAGGGAAGAGATGCTCCTGGGCCAGATAAAAAGACCTGATGGGCACAAGGCTCCTTTCTGCCTCTCTCCTGGCTTCTGCAGGGAGGCTGAGCTGCTGCTGTCAGTGCCGTGCTGGGCAGGGAGGGCTGTGGCCAAGCAGCCTGTCAGCACAATTAAACTCAATGTGGGGCACAATTAAACTGAATATGGATGTCATTAAAAGAAAATCAGGCAGTGGAATTTGGGCTCTGTGCAGTTTAAAAGAATTCATATCCCTGTGTGATCTGGAGGGAGGAGGGATCTTGGCCCTTGCTGGGATGCACCAGTACAGACGAGCTCAGGCTGTAATGAATCACCACATCAGCACCACAGCTGATCAGACACTCCCCAGAGCTTTAGTCCATGTATTTTCAGAGTCACAGAATGTGCTGAGCTGGAAGGGACCCTCAAGGATCATCCAGTCCAACCCTCAGCCCTGCACAGACCCATCCCCAAGGTCACCCCCTGTGCCCCAGAGGATCAGCCAAACCCTCCTGGAGCTCTGGCAGCCTTGGGGCTGTGCCCACTGCCCTGGGGAGCCTGGGCAGTGCCCAACCACCCTCTGGGGGAAGAAACTTT